GCGCCAGCGGCAGTGTCGGGGAAAGGATAGGTATCGATCTAGCGTTCCCAGCGCCACCAGTGCTGACGTAACCTAGCGTACGCCAGCGTAGCGAGGGCACGGGATGTATGGGTATCGATCTAGCACTACCAGCGTTTCACGAGCGTTTCACTAGCGTTTCGCTAGCGCTTGCATCGGCGGGCTAGAGAGTGTAGAAGAGTAGGAGAGTGCAAAATACTCTCCTACTCTTCGATGCTCTCTAGCCCCACCGCTGCAAACGCTAGCGAGACGCTAGTGAACGCTGGAAGCGCTACGCTACGCTGCCGCAAAGTATAAACGCAGTCTAAAGGCTTGATAATTAGGAAGAAACTTATAAGAAAGGGGCAGATCAGTTCCCAGACAGAACGCAAGGGTTCGACTCTGTTTCTTTAGTTTCCTTTTGTGTGGATTCATTAGGATCTGGGTCACCTAATTTTGCATTTCTCGTCCCCTTCATTACGGCATTTGTTTTCAGAATGCTGAACCAGCCTTACAATCATTCTCAGTACCCGCAGAACAACCAGTTGTTGAGCTGGTAGTGCTGGTAACATTTGCGGTGAGTTGATAAAGAAGGATTTCTTACGGGTATTTAATAGCTGATTAAGTTTGAGTAGTTCAGAAAATAGGCCAGTTTTATACTCATGGTGCTCTTGGTCGTTTTAACCTTATTTTACTAACCCTAGTTTTGTTTTATGCCTTGGGTTAGTTTACAATTTGCTGCGTTTCTTTGTTGTTATAAACATGTATTATAGTTTGTAAAGCCAACATTTGGCTTTTGTGTTAAAGTTTCATTTTCTTGACCATACAGTTGCTGTCGTTGAACAGCAAAGTGCGCTTAATGGCATGAATGGATTTTGTCGAGTTACTGCAGTATTTCGACATGAGAGGATTGAACTCTTCTTTGGCTTTGGGATTTGTATTTTACTCATATTGTACCATTGTACCTTTTTACCGTTGGTGTGGTTTCATAATTTATTGCGATATCATTTTAACAATGTATTGAACATGTTTAGTCTCCTCGTAGCAGGAGATTTACTAAATGTGTAAAGCTTGTACTTCTGCATTTTGTGATAAATTGTTATATTTGTATATTTGTTATGTTGAAATTCCTTCTACCTGTAAATACGGTCTATTTCTAAACTATTTTATTAAGAATCATTGAAACATCCGATTGAGACCTGATGACTTCATGCGGGGACGCAAACATGTACTAGTTAGTTGTTCCTGCCATGGTAGTATACCACTGCACTTTGCATACCGTAATTCGCTGCGGATGAAGGGGTCTCCTTTCGTGTCAATCCGTATGATTCAACCCTGTGTCGGCCATGTGAAGCGGGGTATGCGATAACAGCTTGGTAGAAACTATTGTTAGATACGAAATTGTTATTGATACAGGTCTTGCCTCTTTCGCTTCAATGCCCGGTGGAGAACAACTCGGTTTTTGGGCCACTGCTGATCGAACTCATTTCAGTCTTGACACGCCCATTCGTCCGCAGTGTACAGACTATAATTCACTGCAATCCCCACGGGTTTGCAAGCAGAATGTGACTTTATGGCAGGGTATTTGAAGTGCATGTGGTAGGATAGGGCAGACTATACCTCAGCGTTGTGCTTTTGTCTTGCCACCAAGGGTTTATTTATGTAATTTTACCAGGTATGGACCACCATCGACGCATAACTCTACATGATAAACGGCGGGTTGTAATCCAAAGAGATTATTCTTCTGGTCTAGATATTAAATTCAGCTCCTACTATCCTACCGACTTGAGTTCCAAGGCAAGTTTCATAAATTGTTGTTACTGTATTCGCAGTTATGGAAGCGTTGAAGTATCTCTTTCCCTGCCTCTGAAGTTTACGAGTAAACTTCTATTCACTTATCTAACAGTTCAAGCTGTTGGTACTGTCTCACCATTACAAGGCACGTATGATAGAGAAGGACCGAAATTCTATTAAAAATTATTTTTGAAAAATTCCTCTTTGATATCCCTGGAACTCCTTTCTTTCCAGATCGACGAGGACACGTGGAACAAATTCATATGTGAACTCAATTACCGGTATGAGATTGCTGAAAAAGTTTCGTCAGCAACTGTTATGGAAACCATATTTGGTTGTCTTAGTTGTTATTTGATAAAGTAAGTTTTACTTCCACGGTTGTAAATCTGGGAATTCACCAGAGCGATAATGAATTACATGCTCATTTCGCTGTGAGCCTTTGCTTAACATGTTCCCCTCTTCCGAAAGGCTCTCGCGTGGAAAGTCCGCTTACAACGTACTTTACAAGTATATGATAAGTAAACATCATAGTACTGCGCATATGCTCAGGAGCAATGGAATACGGGTATGTGACAAGAGAATCGTGATTCGCCGCGTTGGTGGGCGTCGCGTGCGACGTCGCGCTCGCAAATGACGATGGTTTCCAGGTAGAGGATGGCGACAACAAGCAATTCAGAACCGAAAATAGTCATGAATGTCCAAGATGACGGGGTCTACATGAGGTTAACACGAGTTAAGAAACTGTCGCGCCTATCGAGGCGCGCGGTGGAGCGGCAAACTACGATTCTCTTGCCCGTCTCCCATAGAATAGTAATGGCTTACTGAATGCGATGCGGTCTATACAATGACCGGCGGGCCGATGAATCTTGCTACCAATGGACCGTCTCTGGAGGGTAGAAGGCTTGGTTGGTCTGGGTGGGATGATATTTATTCCACGAACCGTGCCGTCCACTTAAGTCCACTTGATTACCAAATTCGTTTATTCAACGTATCCTGATCATCTCTCCATAAGGCGAGTCCCCAGTGTTGTTGACAGCGATTAATAACTTTACAAATGCTCAGTGGAAATATAAACTAAGAGTAGATTTCCTGTTCTGTAGCCTGGACCACTTAGCAAGAAAAGTGCACGACCTTTTATCCCGAGGTGACTTGTTACTGACCTGACTTTTGAGTCCACATAATGATTCCACCCACCAATTTCGACCAATCTTGATAGCAGAAGTGAAATGGAACCTTTCAATGATGCTAATCCCAAGGAAATTGTGCAATGAGGGGGAAGGGGAAGGTAGGAATACGGAAGTTTTGCTTACTGGGACCGATGAATAAAAAACCGCTGGAAGTGAATTGCCATGCTCCGTGGAAATCTTCGGGCCTGATCTTCTTGCGAATGAACCTCGCTCGCTGTTGGAACATAAACCTGGTTTGACAGCCTTTGCTGAGCTGCGCTGAGCAGTCAGACTTCCCAAGCAGGAGAGAAATAGAACTAGCCAAAATCAACCCCACTACGCGAAGTAAGTACTACCGTCTGGCAACTCCGCTTGGAAGTTTGACCCCACTAACTTTCTAATGTTTATTCCGTTTCCCGAGCTGTAATATTGTGAGATATCGAAACATGTGTAAATCTGTTTTGTTGACTAAATTGAAGAATATCTGGAAAATTTCAGACTTTGTAAACAACCTTCCTTCTATAAGCAATTAGACGAAATAGCTGAATTTATCGAATATTGCAATCGTGATATACTTATTCCACGAGGACTATACGCGAAAAATCCCATTGAAAAAGGATTTCGTGTCGTGAGTTTTTATTTTGTTTTTTGAAATCTGTGTGACAAGAGGTTTTTGCCTTGAGTGGGGCAGAAATGAGGGATATGGTACGTAAGGTTGTGGGAGTTCTCAGAACCCAGTCCGCCCACTTGTAGGTGGATTTGGACACTTTGCTAGTCGCGGGGTGTCACGTAGGCACGATGGCTGGGGGCGGGTGGTTGTCACCAGTGTCACTGGTGGAGGGGCTGAGTGGGGTGTGACCAGACGCCCTCTCGCGGTTCTTCCACCAGTGACGCTAGCGACAAGCTCGCCTTCAGAAATCGTGCCCACAGCCTTCAGGTCAGTTTCTTCTGAGCGCAACAACTTCTTTTTATAGGTGGTCTCTCTCGGTCCTACTGGAATTTAACTCCACT